CACTCTGCCAGTATTGACCAGCAATTTCAAATTGTGATTGACGTTCAACAAAAATATTTAAGTGTTGGCAAAACAGTTCACAATATAAACAAAATTACATTTTAATTGAAAAAATAATACATAAAATTATTTTTAATATTTAGTATGTTTACTTATAATGGTAAAACACTTGAACAACACCTTAAATACTTTTTCAGCAACACTAATTTGTTTAAATGAACAATCATTCATCATACTGGTGTGAGAATTAAGAACAGAAACACGAAATTACCAACATACCAGAATAAATTCATTTAAAAAACGAACGTTTTCTACCGTCTTCAATGGTCATCAGGTTCGAATCCAAGATTTCAAAAAATCGAACATCGCAGTTATGTGCATGTCCGATGCTGGGCCTTAATAAAATTATTCGTGTAATTGGTTTCCTGCTTCAAAAATCCGATGTTTATATTATAGTGTAGACATATATGGTGCGCATCCATTATACATCATAATACGCCCTCCACGCCGTCGCCAAAGAGTCTGTTTCCTTGAAATTGATGGCTGTTCCCTTTCTGAACGCTTTAAAAATTTCCAGCTGTTCTAGATATTTCAGGCTGGCCTGGTGTTCACACCGTTGTATTAAACGTGCATTATCAAATTCCACCCTGACGTCATCATCAAGCACGAAAGCGGCCAAAGCCGTATTGGAAAGGCGTTTTTGAATTGAGTACTTGTGTTCCTTGACCCTTGTTTTAAGGCAATGTATGGTAGCCCCAATATATTCGCCCGGACGATTCACCCTGTGATCATAAATAGCGTTCAGAAAGGAAACAGCCATCAATTTCAAGGAAACAGACTCTTTGGCGACGGCGTGGAGGGCATATTATGACGTATAATGGATGTGCACCATATATGTCTACACTATAATATAAACATCGGATTTTTGAAGCAGGAAACCAATTACACGAATAATTTTATTAAGGCCTGGCATCGGACATGCGCATAACTGCAATGTTCGATTTTTTGAAATCTTGGATTCGAACCTGATGATGACCGTTAAAGACGGTAGAAAACGTTTGTTTTTTAAATGAATTTATGCTGGTATGTTGGTAATTTCGTGGTTATGTTCTTGTTTAAATGAACATTTTTGACCCTTTTCACAGATCTATATCAGGTTTAACAAGAAGAATCAAACTGTCTTAAGTGGTTAAAATCTTGAAGAACAGCTTAAAAAGTATTTATTTCAAGTTAGGAACTTGAACACCATAAATTAGTTTCAGCTTATATATAAGTGTTTTTCTCATGATTTCATTTGTTATGATTCACAGTATCATCTGTAAATCATAACAAATGAAATTTTGAGCAGTTCTAAGTAAAAGTAATTATTCATGCTAAATTTACTGTTGTTTTGAGTTTTAAAAATCAATTTTTCAAGATAAGTCAGTCTAGGCATTCATTTGAGTTTTCTTTCCTCGGAAAAAGTTCATGCAATTGTACATTTAGAAAAACATGACTCCAGTGAATGAATTCAAAATTTGGTTAACTCATGATGATATTTGTTTGGCTTGTTGCATCATTTGCCAAACCTCATTTAGTGTTAATACAGTGGAATTAAAGCATTTACCAGACATGCTGATTCTGTGAAGCATAAAAAGAAATGCATCTTCTTGTTTGCCTTAACTTCCCAGTCATTTCATTAGCTAACAAAACAGTTTCCAAAGATGGCAACCCTAGAGGACATGATGGGATAATATTTTGAGTAAAAGGGAATTAATTAGTTGTAATTTCTTTCGGGGGGGTAGTGTTGCAATATTATCATTTTCTGAAACAAGATTACAAATTATTTTTGTAGTACACAATAAAAGCATGTATATCCACATATAAATGGAGAATTTTCAAGTTTCTTTTGAAAGATTGATTCTGGGTTTTCCAATTGTTTTCCATTCTTAAGTTTGATATTTATTTATTAAGGAATGTATCATGCTCATGATGATCATTAATTTTTCTAAACAAAAATAAACTTTAAAAACTAATCAAAAGAATCAGAATTAGCAGAAATTTTGGTATCATCCCATCGCTACTATTTATGCTGTTTTTAAAGTCACCATTAGTCAACTGATTTTTTTTCTACCCAATCACAACAAGAAATTAAAATTTTGGGAAGAATTAATTTTTGAGTTTGAAATTGTTTATAGTTTAAATTTTCCCAGCCAATCAAAAGCATACTTTCAGTTTCTGAATGTTAAATGGACAGGAATCCAAGAAAATCAGAATTCATGTAACTGTTGAAAATGTAATCACATTTAAAATAAATAGAAATAAATAAAATTTGTTGACAGTTTCAATTTTGAAGTTTGTCAGCATTGGGCTATTAGATTAATTAACTTTATATTGATATAATTTTTTTAAATTTTGTACACTTAAAAACTGTCTAACTGCTTATAAGTATGAAATTCAGAGTCAGAGTTGGAGTCAGTAAAAAAATTTGCTAACACTGACTCCTTAAAATGTTGACACAGACTCCCTAGCCTTATCTGAACTGATGCTTACTAAAATAAAAAAATCTAGCAATGAGATGCTTAACTTTTCCAGCAGTGTTTAAAACTGCATGTTGTGCCATCAGTTATGATATTGTATTTAAAAAACTTTTTATATTTTTAATTACAATCCTCAAAAGTGAAATTGCAACACCATGAAAGAATGTGCACAGCCACATGCAAATTGCAACACTTGTAGAGGTGACAGATATATGCAAATGATTAAGTTTGAGTATGCATTGAGTCATATGATATCCAGTTTTGGGCTGTAAAGACCAGCAGTTTGCTTAGGCTGTAAGTGCTATCAGAGACTGTTAAAATATAAAATCATATAAAATAAATTAAATAATAAAATATTTGGGTAGTCTGTCAGTTTAACAAAATTAAATCTACTACATCTGCTGCCTTTCAAACATTTCAAAGGATTCTAGAAGTCCTCAGCCAAACTTGAAGAAGTGTAGAAAATGCCTTGGAGACAACAGCAAGCTGAATACCACCAGTTAATGGCTAGGGAATGAGACCATATCCTGGAGCTGCACAATCTCAGTTTGTCAATTCACATAGTTGCCACATGTGTTAGGCATGACATGAGTACCATCCAGCAATGTATGACACGAATGACACAAGAACATCTGCAAACACGCTGAAGAGGGAATGAATTACACTGGTGCATGACAGAGCATACAGACCAGCATTGGAGCAAATAGAGCATTTCTTTGCAGGCCTCAGTGATTGCCATATATTCAATCTGTGTACTTGGAGGTGCAATTGTCCATTGTTTGTGGGCTTTCTATGAAAATGCAACACCAGCAAATTGGAAGTTGAAACTTCTATATGATATATAATCAAAAAATCTGATTATTAGTTCTGAACTTTATTGATGTGTGAGTCCAAGATGGGCCATTCCATTGAGATATTGTAGTACTCTGCAGTTTAAAAATGCTCTAGACCAGTTTTAGTTAAATTGACTCAGAGTACTTAGTGCAAAGATGATGTCCAGTCTTGTATAGACAGCCAGGTGCATTAATGATCTACAGTCTACTAGAATGGAAGCTTCTTTGTTGTCTTTTCATCCAATAGATTGGGGAGATACAACTTTGAATTTTCATCAGTGCCAATATGGGCTTACATTCATTCATGCCAAAGTGAAATAAAATTTTGTTAATATAGTTTGAGACATGATAATTTCTTCCTTTGCTTCATCATATGTGAATTCCATGCCCAAACAGAAATGAATAAGTCCAAGATGTTTTATTTGAAATTCTACAGCAAGCTGGTTTTTAAAATTTTGCTGTATTCCTCATTATTGGATGCAATAATGATGTCATCAACATATATAACAATGCTGGTAAATGTTTCCTTTCACTCTGCTTTACGAAACAAGTAAATACAGAGATTAGGATTTAAAGGTTGGTGATCATCATTTTTACCACTTCCGTCTGGCCTGTTTAAGACCATAAAGTGTTTTACAGAACCTAGCAACTGGTTGGCACAATGACTTCAAACGTCAATTTATTGTTTCACTATTTTCTTCATCAGTGGAGAAGATTTGGGACTTGTGAGAATTTTCTCAAATGTCTCATTAATTTCTGGAAGAATTTCCATATAGATGTCTTTGTCAATTATGCCATTTGGGAAGTCAGTCTTAATGTCTAATTGTGAAATCTTTGTGGGACTTGCAACTTTATATGGAGAATATTCAAAAATGAAAAATGAGGTAAAGATTCTTCTCTGTCTATAATGGCAACAACTTAGACTTCTGGATTAAAAATGATCTTTCACAAGATCTTTCAGTGGATCAAAAATGCATTCAAGATCTCTCTTAAAAGATCATTTTGAAGAACATAGTTGTGATTGGTAATTTTTGATGTTTATAATAAGTTTGTTCAAAGATCTGCAATGAAAAGGACTTTGACTAAGTTCAGTTTCCTTCATTGTCAACCAATATTTGGACAGATCTAATGACTTCAATAGTTCAATAGATTGTTGCTAAACCAATGCATAAAACTTTGATTTTTTATTATTAAAAGCAAACCTCCATAACTTGAAACTATTTAACTCTAAGTCCAAATTTTTTCCCCTCTAACTGATTTAAGTTAACAAATTCCTACTGTATTATTACTATTAAATGTATATTTTTAAAATGTTTTTCAATTTGTTTTTATTCTTTAAAATTACATTTAATGAATTGTAATCTTAGATACTGAAAAATTAAGAAATAAAAAACTTTAGTATGTATAATACTTATCATTAAATTTTTAATGTCATTACTTTAAATAAATTATAACAGTAATGTTTTAATATCTAAATGTTCAAAATTCTAAATTTAATTCAAAAGTGATATTCTACAGTATTATAGTGGCATTTAATATATATACACATGTATTTATAATAATAATAATAATAATTTTATATGCATAATTTTATTTTAACAATTTTAATAATTTTGTTTCATAATTTACACTTTTTGTATATTTTCAGGCCATAATGTTGCAAAAGATTTGGTTAGTTTATTTGTGCTATATAATTATAAATATTGGAACAAGTGTATTTTGTCAAAAATCTGTTTCTGTAGTGTTAGATTCTAAATGGAAATATACTCCCCTTCATTTAGAAACTAGGTAAGTTCCTAAAATTAAAATTTTTTCAACTAAAATGAATAAAATTAGTAATAATATTTATACAGTTGATTTGATAAATATTTAATTGCCTTTGATTATTTCAAAAGAATGATTTAAAATGAGATATAACAGTGGTTCATTTTTTGCATATTTTAAATTCAATGTCAGAAATACATTTGGTATCTATGATTGTTCTTTGAACATATCATAGATACCAAAGTTTAATAAATAGGAACCAATATGCAGTATTTAAACATGGATTTGGACTGAAAAATCTAGATTCAACTTGGACGTGTTGAGTCTCAAAATAGTCTTGCCAAGTTCTTGGTTGTAAGTCATATGACTATTTCTCATCGCCTACTTCAAGTAGGAAGGGTGGAAAAAAATAGATAAATGAGTTTCCTAATGAACTCAACAATATTCAAATGCTTACACATTATGACTGTTATGTTTCCTTGCTGAATTGCAACGACATTGACCCATTTCTTTATTATATTATAACATGTGATGAGAAATGGATTCTGTGTGATAATTATTAATCTGCACATGATTAAACAAGGGTGAGAAATCTAAACACATGCCTAAACCAAATCTTCATCCATTAAAGATATTGGTCAGCTACAGATTTCATACACTGACATTCTGCCATCCAGTGAATTATCACATGAAAATACTATTAACAATGTTGATAGTGAGGTGGAAATTTAGAAAAAAGTACTATATTAAAAAAATTTCTTATTAATTGAACAAAAACTTCATAAAATTAAAGTGATATCTAAACTAGCTATGAAGAATCTATTTTGTATTATCTGATTTTATGTTAATTTAATATTTTAAATTATAATGAGATTTTTACTTGAAACATAAAAGTTATAATTATATTATTAAATTTGAAACTGTCTCTTCTTATGTCATCATGCTGAGGAAACAAAGTTATAATTGCCTGGGGGAAGCCCAGGCTACTTGGGTAACGTTTGCACTTTTTTGTCCAAATTTTTAAACAAAATTTCCACATTAGGTTTTGATGATTTTGGTATCAAAATGCTCAGGATAACCTTGTCCTGTGCATAAATTACTTTTTGGAAAATATAATTAACTCTGAGAAAAGTTATATTAAAAAAATGAAAGTGTCAACTTTCTCCTCTTTGACACTTAATGACAAAAAGTATTTTGATATTTTTGGGTGTTGTTTTCTGAAATATAAAGCCAGACAGTTGCTTGATATTTTTCCAGAGTTTGGTGAATTTCAGTTGAACTACAGAAAAGTTTTCAGAGTTCTAAAAAAAAAAGGAACCAGATTTTTAAGTCCCTCATCCCCACTAGATGGCGCTACATTGCTTAGCTCTAATAATGGGAAACTTCTGGAAGAATGTGGACTTTGTCATTTTTTTTTCAATTTTATTTTTGTACTAAAGTACAGTTGATTCCATTTAATTAGGTCACCAGTTAATTGGGGAAGCCACTTTATTGGCTAAATCTCAAAGAAAAGAAACCAAACTTAATTAAGTGATTAAATTAATACATAATTTAAACCCAATTAAATTAATACATAATTTAAACCCAATAAAATAAACCCAATTAAGTGATTAAATTAATACATAATTTAATCACTTAATTGGGACAGTAGCAGAAAAGGAATTTAGCAATTTTTGATATATTTTAGGGATCTTCCTGCTCCAGATTGGACTGGCTCAACTCCTTCCTCTCATCCCATCTAAAATTTTTAACTTCTGTGTAACTATTTCAAATATATGTTTTTTAGTTGTGTCAAGTGCCTCATCAACGTTATTTTTCAGACACAGTTCCCTCAGTCAAGACTGGAAAAAATCTCAAATGCAGCTGCTTTTAACAAATGATTCCAATTTATCCAAGACTTTTTCTGCTTAAATGCCAACTGATTTTATTTTATTATTATTATATTTCTTATTTTAGTTTACTTTATTTACTTTACTTCAATTTAATTTTGTTATTACACTTTTTTTTGTCTGTACTTTTTGTCATATTTTTTGTTTTCCTCAACAATAAATCACTTATAATCTTTCATTTGTGACATATTACTGCTCAAACTGCTCCTCCAGGCTAATTACATCGATAAACATCGTCTCGAGTTTCTCAATGTCACCTATCTGGTTATAATTTTTGTTTAAAGTAAAAATAATTCTTTCAATATTTTGTCATTATGTATAATTAAGAATTTGATTCTTATATTATCAAATACTAGCAGACCCCGCCACGCGTTGTTGTGGGTCAAAATGCATCTATTATAAATTTATAACACTTCCCCCGTGGGGGGAATTTTTCGCAAAATTTCTTCTTAGTGTACATTCTCTTGACATACCCTATTAAAACACAATCAAAAAAGCAAAAACCCACATCTAAATAGTATAATAGAAGCCAAGTTCTTCACGGTAAGCCTTAATCCTGTGTCTCTCCCCCGCTGGGGGGAATATTGAAAAATTTCTTCTTAGTGTACATTCTGTTGACGTGCCCTATTAAAACGCAATCAAAAACGCAAAAAACCGCATCTAAAATAGTATAAATAGAAGCAGAGTTCTTTACCGTAAGCCTTAATCCTAACCATCTCCCTTCAGTGGGGTTGAATTTCGACATGTATATTATATAAAAACACATGCGTATTCGAATGCAGCGTTGTGTCAAAATTTCAAAGGAATCAATAGGAACAAACGAACATTACATTTTTATTTATATANTTGTAACATTAAATTTTTTTAATATATATAATATTTATTAAATGTAATTTATTCAAAATAGAAATCAGTTGCGAGTACTTTTATAATAATGTGGTGATATTAATTACAAAAATGAAAAAAAATAGAACATTCTTGCTAGAATAAATTTTTATATTTTTTGTATTATATATCTGAAAAATTCAATTCATATAGGTAAAAACTTCAAAAACTTGATTAGGTTAAATAAACATTATATATATAATATAAAACTTTATTTTTCAGTGAATTTTTAGCAGAAGAAAATAATGAATTATTTTGGAGATTTATTTCAGAAGTATGTAAATTAGGACCTGGCTATTTACAAAATTGTAAGTAATTAATCTTTTTCTATTCTGTAGTCTCTTATGTGGAATGTATTATGTTAAATTTTAATTCTTTTGTTTATCAATATCTTATAGAATATCAAAAATATGAAATAAAATTTAGGATTTTAATATTAAAACATTTGAAAATAAAATTGTAAAATGATATAAATTAACATTAGCTTTATTGTTATTAAATGAACTATATATTTGAAGTAAAAAGTACTAAATTACATTTAACTTAAATCAGACATGACATACTTTTTAAGTCTAATAGAAAAATATCTTCAAAAATTATAGAATAACTTTAAGAGAAAGTTATTAGTAAAGCTACAAATATGAACTGATAGTGCCCAGTTATATGATCTATTAATCTGTTTTGTGGCTGGTTTTATCAATCTTCATTAAATTAGTAGTTAATGAACCAGTGGCGTAGCGTGGGCTGACACCCACACTACGTCACTGGTTCATTTAACCTAATCAAGCTTATTTAGGTATCTCAATTTAAAAGACTAAAATTCAGTTTTGTCACAGAATAAGTAATGAAAAATTCTGTGCTAGTGTTGCCACCTTTTTAAAATCGCCGACCCTGACAGCAGGTGAGGTTTGTTCGAACAGAAGTTCCTGGCGCATGCGTATATCATTTTGCAATGAAGAATAATTTGCAGTTCATGCTGGTTCTAAGTCAGTTACAGTTAGCAACTAGGGAAACTTGGGTAGGAGTAACGCAAGTAATGTAGATGACTTAGCCCTATTGGATATTGGAGGTGTATATGAGTACGAATTAATCGTACAAGCAAAAAAAAAAAAAAGGTCAACAGGTTGCACACGATATACCCGGACGGCAAGTCAGATTCCCACTATTACGTGCTCATTTCAATCGGTCCGAATCATAGGTGGATGAAAATATGAAATAAAATGGTTCAAATTCTTACAAGATATTATTATTATTTATTGTCAAATTTTGCCGCTCCCTAAAAAGTGCCGCCCGGGGTGGACCGCTCCTGCTGCCCCCCTATGCTACACTACTGTAATGAACCATATTTGAATGACACATTATTCATTAGCAAGTTCTACTTTTTCAACATTCTTTAAATCAATTTAACAAGCCATTTATTAACAGCACTCTGCTGTTAAGAAAAGTATCAGAAGATGCAATTGGCTCCTTAAAAATTTCACGATAGCTCTTAATATCTTTGTTTAACTAGTTAACATACATAATATGATGTTCAAAATCAAACTAAGAATTTCAAATTATAGAAAAGTAGAGAAGAGTGTTTTTGTTGGCTTAATTAAAAATATGAAGTATAATATACTTGAAAATATATAAATTGATGATACAATTAATGGAAAAGAAAAACAATGGAAAAACCTCACATTTCATTTTAAATCAAGTATGTACTATTAAAGTAATGATGAACCAATTATCATTCAGAGGTTTTTAAAATTGTTCCATCTCAATAGTAAACAGTTTATGGTCCTGTTGTTTCAGTATACTCAATATACAACAGCTTTTCATCAGACTTATTGTAATCTGTTGTATTGATTTTACTTTAACAAGTCATTAGAAATTTTAACACTTCAAAATTAGATCTTTAAAATAAGAACAAGGTTTAATATTTTATTATGTTTTAACAAGGTCTGATGAAACACTTTCAGCTGTTAAACAGATTTAATGCATTTGTTAAATTTGAAGAAAGGTTGGTGAAACAGGTCATTAGTCTGATCACTGATTATAACTAGTTCTTGTCAATGAAAAAATCTTTTAACCTGCCATCCTGTGGGGTGGTGACAATTTTCTGCACCTATTAGTTTTTTTTTCCAAATTGACTTATTTAACTGTACAACCACGATAACCTCATGCTACATGCTATCCATCTGACTGTGTAAAAGTTTTAGTCAAAAACATTTTTTCCATTTATCACAGACCCTCAAGAAAACTACTGAATAAATTTGACATCTTGTGCATGTTCTTATGTACAACTTTTTTTCACACAATCATATGTGCAAAGTGGCAATTTTCTGCTCTGACATTATTTTTCAATGTCATCGGTCATGGAGATTGCTCAAGATTGCTACAAAAAATCTGGACTGTTTTTAAAGCATAATATTTTATTGAAAAATTGAAGTAACTGATAAATATTATGTATCATTTTGAAAGAAAGTTTATTTACAATAGTATACAATTAGCTAATGAGCATAATCTTATGGCTCATGGTCAGCAATGTGCATAAGTTTGTTTTGATAGACTCTCAACTCCTTTAGACAGCCTTTGTGGCAATTTTTTTCATTGAAAGTCTAATTCTTCAGATCAGTTGTGTGGTATTTTTTGCTTACCACCCTTGTATGCTATTTGTGCCAAATGTCCAGGTGGCATTGTGGTAGATTTGACAGATTATGTTCTTTGGGTACAAAAGGAATGTTTTTGGCTTTGAGGAACTCCATGGTTGAATTTGCATTGTAAGACAAAGCTTTGTCAAGTCAAAATGAAATTGTCATTTTGATGATGCTTGTTAAGAAAATGGATTAGAATTTTCTTTAGATACTTGCTTTGTATGTGTCAGCATCAATTGAAAGAGATCCCTTGTTTAATTTAAAAATGGCTTTGAAACACCTGCTGGTGAAATGACAATGTACAGCATGACTTTTGCTTCAAATTTCTTCCTAAATTTGTACTTTCACAAGATGCTTGATTTTCATTGCTTGCATAGTAAATTTCATTTCCTGTCATTTGCATGCCAGAGAGAGAGAGAAGTACTATACTTCCCATTGTCCAAAACAAACTTTTTGTTTCCAAAATTTCTTTGAGCTAATTGCATTGCATTTTTTCAGCAGTGTACTCTGGCATCCTCGTCTTCCTTTTCTTTAAGCCTGTATTCTTACATGTCTTACCTATGTATGTTTGATGACAGTTGAACCTTTTAACTGCCTCCACCTGACTAATTGCAGTTTTGTTGTCAAACATTTCAATGGTCTTTGGTTTTTAGCATTCATAACACTCAGCTTTCTTCCACTTCTTGACCTTCTTTTCCACATTCTAGACATTTTACACTTCTTCAAAACATTATATATAGTTGATTTGCTATGACCTTCAGTTAAAAAATGCTCCACTACCACAAAAAATTTTTTTGAGTAGTTTGCATTATTTTCATACATTTGTACAATATGCTCTCTCTCATTATGTTTTCTTTTGTAGCCATTTTTCCGAACTGAATCTCAAATATCAAAAACTTCACATGCTGTAACTGAGTGTGAGCAATGACATAATTTTTGATGCAAAGATTTTAAAATTATATTTTTGAGTTTAACAGTTATGATGCTTTAAACTCAGTCCAGATTTTTTGTCCCATCCTGTTACACATGATATGATGTGGCAGTCTTCAAATCACTGTGATTTTAAATGCTTAAACATAGAGTTCTATGACATTTAACAATTTAAATTTTTTGTGGTTTTATTTTGTGCCAAAAAATACAAAAAAATCATGTTGTGTTTCTGAGAAACACTTCAGTCCTTCCATCATTCCTTTCCAGCTGAACTCATTTCACATCAGTCCACAATATTTTAAAGTTAGGGAGGCTTCATGTGGCAGAAGGGCTAAGGGCATTGTTTCATAAACTAAACAATGTATGATTTTGAAATTTGCCACATACAGAGAAGACACATCACAGGATTTTTCAGAATTATCAGATTTGAGGAACAGCAATTATATGCAATGTAGTTACACACAAAAATCAGTGGAAAATTGCCACAGCTATGCTAAATGGAAGCTATGTGCTATTGTGGGTTAAATTACTTCTATTGTTAACAAGTTTTGCTTTATAATATATGGAGATAGGTAATGTTTGTTTCGAAAAAGAAATTTTGTTTCAAATCAAGTGATTGATTTTTTATTTTAATTTGCGAATTATTGTTACTTTCTGAATACCTGAATATTGTTCTCTTACTTCAAAATATGAATTTTGCTTTGGCTAAATAGAAAAGTGAAATTTAATATTTTATGGAGTATTTTATTTATTAGTAGTAATAAAAATTGTTCATTTCATGAATTAAATTATTAATAATGTAAAAAACATTTGTTTTAAAAAAATAGTTTTTCATTTTGAATAAAACAAATTTCAATTCTAAGGTAGAAATGTAGCAAATGTAATACTAGAAAATTTTTTGTTGTTGAGCATAAGAGATATTTTTTATTCTAAATGTTTGAAAATTTTGTATTTTAGAATTAATGTAAGACTAACATTGTCAAATATTGATAAAATTGATATATTTTTCAATTATGGAAGTTTGTTTACTCTTAAAATAGTGGGGCATAACAGAATTTTTGTTTGTTTTAACTTTCTCATTTTGCTGTTCTTTTTATTTGTTATTGTCATAAAGATTATTGTTATCATTATGACTTTTAAAATGTAATTCATGAGAAAATAATCTTTCATTTTTTATATTAGTATTAATTGCAGAAGTTGATTATTCTGCCTTACTGTTTGCATAATAGATCAATTATTCATTATGCTTATGATGATATAGCAATTGATTTATAATATTTATTTCTGTTATGTTTATAAAATAATTTTACACTTTCAATTTTATTTATTGTTTTGTAGTAAGCCAGCAAGAACAATATGAAGTTATATTAAATATAACTAGCAAAATCCTTTCTCCAGCCAGATTAGCTTTATTGAAGTTTTCCCTTTCATTGAGGATTCATTCTCCAGCAGTGGAGATGTTTCATCAAGTAAGTGATATGTTTGTTTCTTATTGAGAAAATTGCAAACAAAATGCAACACTAACTCAAGACATCAAAAGATCTTGTTTAATGATATTTAACAATTATATATATATATATATTTCAACTGTAAATATTATGTTACACAGATCATTTTCAGTTAAAATTTTTCTTCTGCATTTTAAGTAAATTTTTATTATAAAATTTATTTGATTTTATCTTATTTATGTTAAATATTAAAAAGAAGTTTCTCTAATTTTAATTCACTTGCATAAAATAAATGAAAAGAAATTGTATAAATTGGTGACTGTTGTATTCTAGGAACATGTCTTGAATTTTAATATAACTCTGTAGTATAATTAGTCTTAATTCATGTAACTTTTTATTTATATATTTGCTTTAAGTAGGGTGAATACTAGATGGCTGTATATTTTTGAAAAATTACGTTTTTTATTGCAATTTCCGACCCCCCCCCGACTTAATTAAACATATATATTATAAAATATATTAATTAAAAAAATTAAAAAACTATTGGAGGTGGTTTTTGACATCAGAAACTAGCTTTAAATAACTTTACCGAAGTAAAATCCGTGCACTAGAACTTTAGAATGATGAATAAAATTTGATTTAAAAAATCCCATTAAAAAACAATTAAGCATTAATTGTGCATCATTAAAGGTTGATTAAAATCGTGATAAAATTTTTTCCCATGGGAAAAAATTTGGAGACTTAAAAAACATCCAAAAATAAATAAATAAATTTTTGGAGGGCCCAAACGACCGAGTTTTATGTAACGCTATGGGACCTGCCCGAGTTAACTCGGACTAGAAACTTAATGAGTTGAATCAGTTTTTTAAACTTATAAATAAAAGGAAAATATCAACATTTTTTAAATATGTTTGGTAAAATGAATAATAAATTTTTTAATAGTTTACTTTCATTTGTGAGAATAATTGTACGATGATGATTGCCAGTTTATGTATTGTGATGATGATAGAATAAATTTTAAGCATAAACAAGCTACTTTCATTATATACATTTGAATACCATGTTTTCTTGATTTTAATGTGCATCCAATTTTCAAAACATCAAAAGTCAAAAAAAAGTTAACTTGTCAATGTAATGTGAGCCCTACATTGAAAATGTAGCTGCAAAAAGTTAATGCATGTAAACAGTAATAAATGCATTTTTTAAAAAGCATTTTATTTTCATGTTTACAATGCTTTATTTATGACATCATCAGATACAGATCTGTGTACCAATACAAAATCACAGTCAAAATTACCATACAATCAATATATTAACAATAAGATTTCATGTCATTTTGCACAAGCATGAAATTTTACCAGATACATAGTATCCTATTAAAATATCTGTGTAGATACTTCAGTATAGTGGCTAACTTGCTCTTAAACACAGCTTTATAGGCAATTTTTCTGCAGGACATTATCACTTGGCTTTCTGTAGTTCAGAAGAAGACCAAACCATCCAAAACAAAAATTAAAACTAAAGTAATGGGAGGGACATGTACTATGTTTATACCAATATATAATACATGTGAATTGCCAAGCAGAGTGAAGAGTAATGATGTGAACACGGCTTCATTAAGTCAATTTTATGCCTAATTCTAATAAGCATTCCAGTTTTTGAGATCAGAAAAATCCAAAACAAAGCATGCAATAGAATAAATAAATAAAGTATTTTTTATCAGTATAATGAAAGATTAGATAAGATATATTGTACAAAGATTAAAAAATGATTTTAAAATAATGTATCTATTTACTGATTGATATTATAATTAATACAAATGTACAGAAAATATTTACAAAGAACATACCAAAATAAAAAAACATCAGGCGTATCAAGTATTAAATGATTACTTATAATAATTAAAAGTTTTGATATTGCAGAAAATTTATGATTTACATAATGCTTATTATCCATTTTAAAAAAAGAACTAGTTGTGTGTGCCTGGTATTATTCAGTGTTTTAAGAGGCTGGGGATTGGTTATGTTGGATTGGGAGAGAGAGATAAAAATAATGGTCTTAGTAACTAAAATATAAATTTATTGATCTGAGTATATACTAGTGATGCAATGAATAGTATATTCGGCCTCAGGTTGAATACCAAATATTCAGCCAAACTATTTGGCTTGATTAACACACACACAAAAATTGGAGTGCAAACAGCATTATGGCAAGGATCGCACACCCTGCTCTCTAATGGCCCACTGTCACTATGCTTCGCCAATTGCGTTAATTCTTGACAGTTGTAGCGGACAGACATGAGCATCATGACAGTATGTGATAAGTGATGATATCAAATGTGGATAACAATGAAATGACCTACACGTGAAACAGAACAGAGAAGGACTGCAAAGTGAAAATGTGAAAATAAATAGGAAATTGAGTTGATAAAATAATCAAACAAGTTGAGTCAGCTTATTGGCGTGAAATTTGCGGCCGTCAATGCCAAATAATTGTTCTCATAGACTTCGGAAAGCTAAATGCTTGTAATGAAAGTCACTTACTGTGCATGGGCAAAAGCCTGGGGGCCGTTCAGGCTACCAAGTTGTTTGGAACTTCAGTTATGATAAATAATAATAAGTTAATTTTCAAGTTTATAATAAGGGATGATTTCATAAAAATGCTTTACAGATCATTAATTATTATTTTTTTCACATTTTATGACCTGTTTTGATCTAATGTGCCCACACAGTAAATATTTTCATACAAATTTTTTTCCCTTTTCACTCCTTTAGGGTTGAATTTCGTAAAATCTTTTCTTAGCACGCCTAAACTTTACATAAGGAACACCACCTCAAATTTTTAAGTTTCTAGCACCAGTAGTTTTGGCTCTGCATTTAATTATACTATCAGGATTTGTTCTTTTATATACGAGTATATAGATGACTAAATTACATAATAAGTAGGTACTTTTCATTTGAGTTGTTACCTTTTTTTGATCTCTTGAAAAAAACTTAGTTATATTACTTTTCCTTTGATCTTTTACATAAATAAGCAAAAAATTGCACTTTCTTGAACTTGAAATGTGTGTTCAGCATTAATAATAGTTACCAAAATGGTTAATTTACTATGTTTTTGTTATTTCTTACTCCTTTTTTAGGTATTCAGTATTTGGCCAAATAGTGATTACATATTCGGTATTCGGCCAAATATCGAATAGTAACCGAATATTTGTTGCATCATTAGTATATACAATAGTGGAACTGCAAAACACAAAAAATTGCTTAGGCTAAAAATAATAGGGAATGGGTTTTTGGGGCCCACTGTATTTTTTATATTTTCAGGATCTGAGCAATTTTTTTTGTGTTTAGCAGTTTCATTATTGTAAATACTAAGGTCAATAAATGTACTGTACATTGTAGTTACTAAGACTATTGTTTTTATCATCCTCTTCTGATACTATCTCACTAATCCCCACTCTCTCAAAAACCTGAGCAACGCTAGGCACGTGTAGTTAGTTGCCTTCTTTGCATTTCCTAAATTGGAAGTTCATTCTCATTAACTTGTTCATAACTGTCAACAACATTTAACAGTGACAACATTGTTATAAACACTTAATGTTAACTCTCTAAAAAATAAACCAGCAACAAATTGCTCAACTTTTCCAGCAATGTTTAAAATTTTGGTGGCACCATCTGTTATCATATTTTATTTTGAAAACTTTTTATATTTTTAACTATTATAAAATGGCAAAATGCTTTATTTTGAGGGTAGGGATGATTTTTATAAAAAAAATTGTAAATTCTAATAAGTAAAATCATCATTAAGTTTGACCCTATAGGAGATATACACAACCAACCCCCATTATCTCCTCACCCCTCGACTCGACCTTTAACCATCAAAATTTAATAGAATCAATCCCCCTAATAAAGAAGCCTTCCTGCAAAATTTCGGAAATTTTCAACAAAAAGCACAGGAGTTAAGCTTTAAACAAGGTGAACAAAATCGTGCTCCCCACACACACTAACATTCATACGTGCAAAAAATTTGAGAAATGTTGAGAAATACATAAATTACCATAATAAATTACAATAATACATAATATAAAATACATAAATTACATACATAAATATAAATTAAATATAAATGAGGGTAATGTATTTCTCAACATTTCAAGGTATCCTAAGTCCAAAAATGTAAAAATCTTTTTTTGGCTCAATTGCTATACTTTTCCTCTGTTGTATATAACAGCTGGGAAAATAATAAAAGTGATTATTTTATTTAAATTTATTAATGATAAAAAGATAAAGCAAAAAGTCAAAAATTAGCAAAAAAGAACAAGAATAAAAATGGTTAAAAAAATTAAATTGCTAGATGGCACACAAGTGTTCAACATGTTTGTCCTGTAGACTTAACATTGTACCTTTGTTATGCTGCCATGTCTGAGATGTCATATCTTTCTCCAATCTCTCTTCAGCTAGAGAGTAAGAGCTTTAATCTTTTTACTTGAACAGTATTTTTAGCCCTAGCTGCTCATTCAAACTAAATTAGACAAACTGAAACCGTCTTTCAAGTAATATATAAATTTATATAGGATGCACCATAAGTTCCCAACCTAGTGAGAAAGGACAATGAAAAAAAGACAAATCATAGTTATTTTTCAGTATAATTGCCATTGATTTCAACATACAACAACATTTAAAAAGAAATTCAATCCCTTTATAAAAATATTGTGGATGATTGAACTGCTCAACAACAGTCTCGAATGACAGCTTGAACAAGTGCTGCAGTATGGATGGGTGCATTGTCGTGCAACAAGTGCACTCCTCTTAAAAATAAAGTTAAGCAGTATTATAGTAAAATTATTCTATATTTATTTTTAAAAAATGTTGTTATATATATATTCTTTGTTTTAAAGAGGAACATATATGGAAATAATTAAATTTAGTAAGTTTATTAAAAACTTTTTTTTATTTCAGATTGCATATGATAAAAATCTTCCAACTTCATGTGAATCTGTAGTTGAAATTAATAAACAATTTGCATGCAATGTTGAAGATCTTGAGAAACTACTAATTTCTGTTGAAAGGTATGAATTATTTTTTTAATTATTTAATTTCCTTATGTTAATTTAAAGTTTGCATAAGATAGATTTCTGAAATAAGTAAGATATTATAATTTTTCCTAGTATTAACATATTTTTTTTACTGAAATTTGGTTATCAAAAGTATGATGCCCATTTAATTGAAAAAGATTTCATGTTTTGAAATTTTTTACTGGTCAAGCATTATATATTCTTTCAAATTTGTAATTTATAGTATTTTTATTTTTAATCATACAAAATAAATTCCATATGGCCTTATTTTTATTCAAGATATATAGAAATAGTGTCTTCTATCAATACATTATTTATGCATTTACAGTAGAGTGTCGTTTATCTGAAAGTCAATTATCCAAAAGAATTCCAGTCAGCAAATTTAAATTTTCACCAGTGCTGTGGCGCTGCAATCTTTACTTGGGCTACTCAAATATTTTATGTTTTTGATACTAAATTAACTTCTGAAGTATAATATTTTATTGTTTTTATATTTTTCAATATATTTATTTTGTTTGTACAAAATAAAAAAATAATTTTTAACGATACAATAGTCTTCGTTAGGCTTAACATTGACGAAAATTTGACACGAAGCGACACGCAACAGAGAAAAATTTCAACATGGGATAGGTTAATATATTTTTTCATACATAATCGGTTATCTGAAATATCGATTTTTCTGAACAACCCCAGTCCCCAATTGATTTGGATAAACGACGCTCTACTGTATATTATTCCTCTCTTTTTGCAGACTTACAATTTCATCTTTACATAATTTCTTATGACTTATTACTATTACTCATATTTTATGTGTTCACTTAAGAGTATGTGTTCACATAGTTAACGTAACCAATTAAACTATATTAATTAGTTATGTTTTAGTTGTTTTATGAAATTTTAGTTTTAACAATATTTTAAATATCCTAAAATATTAGCTATAATCACTGCCTAGACAGGTTGTATTTGTAAAATTTATTATGTGCAGCCTATTCACAAGGGCAACTAATACATATATAACCTGTGTTGTAATGAACTGACTACATGTGTGAAGGATAGTTACTAGATACTTTCAATCAGCAGTATTTCAAAAGTAGCCAGAAATTGCCAAATACGTGTTCAAAATAACCAGAAAAGTTGACACATTTTTGTTTTAAAAAGTATATCTGATATGAGATAAAATTAAGTATGTATATTCTGATCACATTTGTTTATCTGTGATGTACTAGTAATAATAATTTTAAAGCATTCATGAAAATTGGAAAAAAATTATCAACAAAATGGTGTACAATTAACTCTAGTACATAGTATAGTTAGATTTTCATAAATGTTATTTCTGATACTATCTATTCCTTTCCTATTGGCTTTTGTTCTGGAGTTGTACTCTAAAAAACATGGCTATCGCTATATACAAGAACATCTATCTATCCATGAAAAAGTCAACATTCCTTTACAACTTTTCACTTTTGCAGCTTATACAGAAGAGTGGCCTATAGCCAAGGTTTTAGAGTAATTGTCTTAAAATTAATAATTATCCATATTGGACAGTTTAAACAGATTTTCTATTAGTTTCAAAATTGGAATAATTTATTATATTAATTAAATTAAAAATTAGTATTAATGAAATATTAAAACTTTATAATTAATTCTGAATATTTTTTTCTTTTTCCATAACAGAGATGATGTTGATATTTATAAAGTTGATCATCATTTTAAGACATTAACATCAAATTCATTAATTGTTATTCTATATGGAGAAATTGGAACATCATCATTCAATAAATTTCATCAGTACTTAAAAAATAAAGCTGAGAATCAAGAGGTAGATTATGTGATGAGGCATTTTGTTTTGGTAAGAATATTATACATCTCAAAATTATAACATAAATTTCACATTTTTAATAATAATAATAATTTTTTTTTAATAATGCAGAATCGTTCAAGTGAAAAAGTTCGTCTTTCGGGTTATGGTGTTGAATTAGCTATCAAAAGTACTGAATATAAAGCACAAGATGACACAAAAGTGAAAGGTAATAGTATATTATTAATTGTTTTAAAATAATTTACTTGTAATTTTCACATAAAGAAATTAAATACTAAGTGAATATTCTCAGTTTAAATGACTTCATATAGAAGTAAATAAATATAACATTTATAGTAGCTTATTGTACATATAGTTTTTGCTATAATAAAATAACATAAAGATTAAGAATAAATATCAATTTTTAAATGAATATTTAGTTAGTTTATTTAATATTTTATATGTTGATTTATGTATTTATCACTATTCATTTTTATAGAGAATTTAGATTGTATGATATCAAAGTTAAAAATTTTTACTTACTGTTGCAAATGTTTAAAATAAGAGTTACCTTCATTTATTTTGAATAGTTTACAAATTATCTATTATATATCAGAAAATAACAGATTATTTTTTTAGCATGGTTAAAAAGACTTTTTTTAGTATACAATTTCCACTGACTGTTTATTTTTGATAATGAAAAAAATACATCAAATAGACTTACCAAATGAAATTTATTCATTATTCTAAAGAATATGGTAAAAATTTTCAAGCAAAGTTATATTCATTATATAAAAAGAAATACAGTCAATTCCGTTTAATTGGGCCACTGGTTAATCAGGGCAACTGCTTTATTGGGCCAAATCTAAAAGAATGGAAACCAAACTAATAAATTTTTTAATACTTACTTTAATCACTTAATTGGGACAGTAGCAGAAAAGGAATTTAGCAATTTTTTTATATATGTTAGGGATCTTCCAAAAATATGTAGACACTACTTACACTGATGTTGTGTAGGCTTAATGGTTGGCGGAGACAAAGCGATTTTGTCTTTGACTCTGGCAGTTCAGTTTTTTTGGAGGGGGTCAGCATAGCAGGACATATCACATGGGGTCCCATCTGAGGTAGCCCTGAATGAGAGCTACTAACCCTGTTCTGGATTGGACCGGATTATCCCCTTAAAAATGAAGGACAAAGATCCTTGGACAATTTTTTGAGGTCTTTCGACTAAGTTGGAAGACAGCTAGAGTTCCCTTGAAAGGTATTGTGTGCATAATTACTATGTCTAGTTTTGGACAGCAGCCATCCAATCGTTGAGACTAGCATTCGGAGCTGACAGATTCTATTGATGCTCCCACCGAAGTGATTCATCTCCAAGTAAAGGAAACTGTGCTCAAAGGAAGACCATAAGATGACTTTTAGACTAACCTTTCCTTTTTCCCTTTTTCAATAGAACATGTTTTAACTAAAAAGGGAGAAAGGAAAAATTATTCGATCATGAACGAATCAAACAGTCAACCCTTGTGTACAGTACATCACTATTAATACTGTATTTGGCAACACTAGTGTGATGCGAATCAGTTATCTATCGTTGTGAGTCTGGCAAATTTATAGTACAAATATTTTCTATATTTTGGTTTAATAAAGCATTAAAATAGGTACCTAGTTATTATTTTTTTACCTACTTATTTATTACATGTATTACATATTTTATTTTAGAATTTATTATTAGTTTGCTTAATTGGGCCAAAATGGATTAGTCTCAATGTGTCCCAATTAAGCAGAAGCGACTGTATGGTCAAACAGCAGGAGAAAATTATAGATATAATTTTAATAAAGTGAATTAAATTTGCCTTTAATAATTTAAACTATAAAATAAATTTCTGTTTAAATAATAATGTGTTTCCATGATTATATTTTACAGTATATTGAATGATATTTGAGCTGTAAATGTAAATGCATGGATAAAATTTTTATTTGACTAATAAATAAAATAAAAAATTTATTTTTTACAAAGAAACTTAGAAACATTGTACATTTTACATACACAGAAAAAATTTCAAAATTAAATATTAGCATTTCTTACAAAATAAGTTACATTGATCCAATTTAAAGGAAACTATTCATTCTGCAAAAATGTATGTAGTATCAATTCTAATATTTTAAATTAAAAGTCAAATTACTATGTTATTGATTCATTGGAACATTATATACAAAACAAAAATTTGTAGATTAAATAGATACTAATTATTTCCATCAAAGTTTAGAATAAAATATTTTATAAGAGACAATATTTTAAAATACTGGTATATAATTATTATTAATTCAATAATAGAAATTATTTTCCATTTCTTTAAAATCTAAAATATTAAATCTTAATTTATTTTGTAACATTTAGAAGATGAAACAACACAAACTGAAGAAGGAAATAAACAAGATGAGATAGAAGGATTTGTTTTTTCAAAACTAAAGCAAGTATTAACTATAAAATCTTAAATAAGTTTTAGTTTAAATTTTTTTTCTTTATTTAAGCAGCCACTTTATATATCATAGTTAAACTTGTAATGGACTGTATTCTTTACTAAATTGTAATGCTAGTGAAATCTTTTTGGAATCTTGATAATTAGATATTGTCAAAAATTATGTAAAAATTTTTATAGTTATGTTGAATAATAATCATATAGTTTTTATACACATACATACAGGATTTAAGCTGGGAATAAATTTTCTGTAGCATTTTACTAAAAAAAAAAGTTGTAGCAAAATTTTAGAAACAGTAGCTAGCATTTCTCATTTGTGAGGCTGCCCAGAACAATACACAATATATTATTGTTTAAACATTTGTTTATTCTCACAAATACTGTACATTATTACAGTGTACTGCACTACCACACAACTGTAAATCTATTGTTACAACCCACAAGTATCATACATTATTGGACAATCCTTCTTGGTTTTGATTCACACCAGGCAACAAATGCTGAATGATAATTAAATTTCCATCTTGGGGGCCATTTATAAAGATGTTTAACAAGTTGCTGACATTTTTTACATCCAGACAGTTTCCAATTGGAGTTTTTATTAATGTCATCTCACACTTAACAGTGTGTACTGGGTTTGAAAGAACAAATTCAATAACTGTTGATATATGAGGATAATCTGAGAAGTCATTTACAGCTATCGTTTTATAAACATTAGCCGATGACATATCCTTACATCTGACAGTAACAAATCCCATTCCATTAGAAATTTTTTTTTCTTTTTAATTATAATATTAACAATAAGTATTCGTTTATTGGAAACTTTCGTGTGTACAAAGCAGAGAATACATGACGCCCCATATACAATGTGACATCTGTCAAGGTGGACTTTTCTTTTGTGTAGTCAGAATGACGAGATATTACACTCAGTTGGTACTAACTGTCTCATTTTAGGAAAGATAGGGTAGCATTAGGGTTGCCACTCTGCCAGTATTTGGTCAGTTTGGCTGGCAATTTTAAATTGAGGCCGGTGGTTGATAAAAATATTTAAGTTTTGGCAAAACAGTTTAAAATATAAACAAAATTATATTTTAATTGAAAAAATATTATATNATATATTATAAAATATTATATATATTAAAAAATATTATATATTATATAAATTGTTTCTAATATTTAGTATGTTTACTTATAATGATAAAATGTTTGAAAAAACGCCTTAAAAACTTTTTTGGGCAACGCTTTAATTTGTTTAAATGAATGTTTTTGACTCTTTTCATAGATCTGCAGAAGATTTGCACTGTTTAAGATTACAGTTCAAATCTTTTTGTTAAACCTGATGCAGACCTGTGAAAAGGATTGAAAACATCCTTTCATAGAAATTAAAGTGTTGCTGAAAAAGGCATTTAATGTGTTGTTCAAGCTAAATTAGTTTCAGCCTATATAGAAGTATTTTTTAATGATAAAACGACTTTCCTATTATAACTATTAAGTTCTTGTTATGATTCACAAATGATGCTGTAATATATTAAATTTTCAAATGCATTTTGCACAGTTTTCATCTTGAAAAATCAATTTTTCAAGATGAATCAGTCTATGTATTCGTTTGATTCTTCTTTACCTCAAATAAGTACATGCATTGGTGCATTTAGGAAAACCTGGCTTAAGTGAATGAAGTTAAAATTTGGTTAACTCATGGGGATAATGATATTCATTCAGTTTGTTGCATTATTTGCTTAACCTCATTTAGTGTTAAATACAATGGAATTATGGCATTTATGAGGCATGCCGATTGTGAGAAGCATTAAAAAGTGCATTTTCTCATTACCTTCCCTGGTCATCATATCAGCTAATGAAAAAGTTTTTTTCAATGATGACCTTAGATGATGCGATGGGATAAATTTTTTTCAATAAAAGGGAATTAACTGTAATTTGATTGGGGGTAGTGTTGCAATATTAACTTTATCTGCAATAAGATTACAAATTTGTTTTGTAGTACACAATAAAAGCATGTGTATCCACATGTAAATGGAGAATTTTTGAGTTTCTTTTGAAAGATTGATTCTGGATTTCCCAATTGTTTTCCATTCTTCAGTTTGATGGTTAATACACTGCTGATGTTGAGTGTACTTCACTCACTGCGACATGGATTTTTCTGTGCTCAGTAGCACATGTTAGTGGAGTTTACCCTCACCACATATAAAAAGGACACTTTTTCCATGAAGCAAATTTGTCTGGGAATGGTAGGATTTGTGTTGTTAAGATCCATAAACATTTCTGCAAAGTTTATCTTTGCCTTGTAGTCTTCAGGAAGCAGCTCTTGATAACATTGGGACTTGTACGGATGATAACAGAATCTCTTGAGAATTGCATGTACAAAGGTTGACCCAATTCTTGCTTCTAGATTTACACAGCAAATAGAAGTAGTTGGGTTTACTGTGATTGTGGCTTTGATGTCATAGCTGCATTGTTCATCATACAACTCCTGGGCATCCCTGGTCTTGGCACATCATCCAAGTCATTCAGGTGTCAAAATTTAGCTACCATTCTTAAGATTGTAGTTTGCTGGAGATAGGGTCAATTGAAATGCAATGCAGGGAATCATGCCACAACATCCCTTGTGCTTCATTTCTGAAAGTAAAGTTGTAACATTTTGCTTGTATTTGTCTTCATATATATCATTCTTGTGTCATGCACTTTTTGCACACTGCTAAATGTCTTTAAGTACCTGTCTGGAGTAACAAAATATTACTGCTGCAGACACAGTAATTTGCGTCATTGCCATAACAACAGATGCTTTTGTATTTGCAAGCCTATCACAGATGGGTGATATCGTATAAGATGTGACCCGTCAGTTTCTTCCATGTTACGTTATTTTTCAAACACGCTGTATATATATTCTTTAATTATAATCATTATTATTGATTTGTGAATTGTTAAATCAAATTTAAATTATGTATATTTTGAATTAATTTCAAACTTTATATTTGGATTTTGAGATTTGTAAAATTAAAATTTCTCTAATATAATAACATTAATGTTGCCATTATTTTTATTATTTCAGGGAATTGTATGGTGATCAAAAAGATAAATTAGAAGAATTAAGATCGCATTTAGTTGAAAGTACTAAAGAAATAGCTACTTTGAAAGTATGGGAGTTACAAGGTATGAAGATTCAGTAAATAATATATTACTAATTTAAAACAAATGTTTTTTAAAAATATAGAAAAAATTTAGACTAAAAGTGTTGTTAATATTTTATACTGTTTTTTTTTTTTTTTTTTTTTTTTTTTTTTTTTTTTTTTTTTTTTTTTTTTTTTTTTTTTTTTTTTTTTTTTTTTTTTTTTTTTTTTTTTTTTTTTTTTTTTTTTTTTTTTTTTTTTTTTTTTTTTTTTTTTTTTTTTTTTTTTTTTTTTTTTTTTTTTTTTTTTTTTTTTTTTTTTTTTTTTTTTTTTTTTTTTTTTTTTTTTTTTTTTTTTTTTTTTTTTTTTTTTTTTTTTTTTTTTTTTTTTTTTTTTTTTTTTTTTTTTTTTTTTTTTTTTTTTTTTTTTTTTTTTTTTTTTTTTTTTTTTTTTTTTTTTTTTTTTTTTTTTTTTTTTTTTTTTTTTTTTTTTTTTTTTTTTTTTTTTTTTTTTTTTTTTTTTTTTTTTTTTTTTTTTTTTTTTTTTTTTTTTTTTTTTTTTTTTTTTTTTTTTTTTTTTTTTTTTTTTTTTTTTTTTTTTTTTTTTTTTTTTTTTTTTTTTTTTTTTTTTTTTTTTTTTTTTTTTTTTTTTTTTTTTTTTTTTTTTTTTTTTTTTTTTTTTTTTTTTTTTTTTTTTTTTTTTTTTTTTTTTTTTTTTTTTTTTTTTTTTTTTTTTTTTTTTTTTTTTTTTTTTTTTTTTTTTTTTTTTTTTTTTTTTTTTTTTTTTTTTTTTTTTTTTTTTTTTTTTTTTTTTTTTTTTTTTTTTTTTTTTTTTTTTTTTTTTTTTTTTTTTTTTTTTTTTTTTTTTTTTTTTTTTTTTTTTTTTTTTTTTTTTTTTTTTTTTTTTTTTTTTTTTTTTTTTTTTTTTTTTTTTTTTTTTTTTTTTTTTTTTTTTTTTTTTTTTTTTTTTTTTTTTTTTTTTTTTTTTTTTTTTTTTTTTTTTTTTTTTTTTTTTTTTTTTTTTTTTTTTTTTTTTTTTTTTTTTTTTTTTTTTTTTTTTTTTTTTTTTTTTTTTTTTTTTTTTTTTTTTTTTTTTTTTTTTTTTTTTTTTTTTTTTTTTTTTTTTTTTTTTTTTTTTTTTTTTTTTTTTTTTTTTTTTTTTTTTTTTTTTTTTTTTTTTTTTTTTTTTTTTTTTTTTTTTTTTTTTTTTTTTTTTTTTTTTTTTTTTTTTTTTTTTTTTTTTTTTTTTTTTTTTTTTTTTTTTTTTTTTTTTTTTTTTTTTTTTTTTTTTTTTTTTTTTTTTTTTTTTTTTTTTTTTTTTTTTTTTTTTTTTTTTTTTTTTTTTTTTTTTTTTTTTTTTTTTTTTTTTTTTTTTTTTTTTTTTTTTTTTTTTTTTTTTTTTTTTTTTTTTTTTTTTTTTTTTTTTTTTTTTTTTTTTTTTTTTTTTTTTTTTTTTTTTTTTTTTTTTTTTTTTTTTTTTTTTTTTTTTTTTTTTTTTTTTTTTTTTTTTTTTTTTTTTTTTTTTTTTTTTTTTTTTTTTTTTTTTTTTTTTTTTTTTTTTTTTTTTTTTTTTTTTTTTTTTTTTTTTTTTTTTTTTTTTTTTTTTTTTTTTTTTTTTTTTTTTTTTTTTTTTTTTTTTTTTTTTTTTTTTTTTTTTTTTTTTTTTTTTTTTTTTTTTTTTTTTTTTTTTTTTTTTTTTTTTTTTTTTTTTTTTTTTTTTTTTTTTTTTTTTTTTTTTTTTTTTTTTTTTTTTTTTTTTTTTTTTTTTTTTTTTTTTTTTTTTTTTTTTTTTTTTTTTTTTTTTTTTTTTTTTTTTTTTTTTTTTTTTTTTTTTTTTTTTTTTTTTTTTTTTTTTTTTTTTTTTTTTTTTTTTTTTTTTTTTTTTTTTTTTTTTTTTTTTTTTTTTTTTTTTTTTTTTTTTTTTTTTTTTTTTTTTTTTTTTTTTTTTTTTTTTTTTTTTTTTTTTTTTTTTTTTTTTTTTTTTTTTTTTTTTTTTTTTTTTTTTTTTTTTTTTTTTTTTTTTTTTTTTTTTTTTTTTTTTTTTTTTTTTTTTTTTTTTTTTTTTTTTTTTTTTTTTTTTTTTTTTTTTTTTTTTTTTTTTTTTTTTTTTTTTTTTTTTTTTTTTTTTTTTTTTTTTTTTTTTTTTTTTTTTTTTTTTTTTTTTTTTTTTTTTTTTTTTTTTTTTTTTTTTTTTTTTTTTTTTTTTTTTTTTTTTTTTTTTTTTTTTTTTTTTTTTTTTTTTTTTTTTTTTTTTTTTTTTTTTTTTTTTTTTTTTTTTTTTTTTTTTTTTTTTTTTTTTTTTTTTTTTTTTTTTTTTTTTTTTTTTTTTTTTTTTTTTTTTTTTTTTTTTTTTTTTTTTTTTTTTTTTTTTTTTTTTTTTTTTTTTTTTTTTTTTTTTTTTTTTTTTTTTTTTTTTTTTTTTTTTTTTTTTTTTTTTTTTTTTTTTTTTTTTTTTTTTTTTTTTTTTTTTTTTTTTTTTTTTTTTTTTTTTTTTTTTTTTTTTTTTTTTTTTTTTTTTTTTTTTTTTTTTTTTTTTTTTTTTTTTTTTTTTTTTTTTTTTTTTTTTTTTTTTTTTTTTTTTTTTTTTTTTTTTTTTTTTTTTTTTTTTTTTTTTTTTTTTTTTTTTTTTTTTTTTTTTTTTTTTTTTTTTTTTTTTTTTTTTTTTTTTTTTTTTTTTTTTTTTTTTTTTTTTTTTTTTTTTTTTTTTTTTTTTTTTTTTTTTTTTTTTTTTTTTTTTTTTTTTTTTTTTTTTTTTTTTTTTTTTTTTTTTTTTTTTTTTTTTTTTTTTTTTTTTTTTTTTTTTTTTTTTTTTTTTTTTTTTTTTTTTTTTTTTTTTTTTTTTTTTTTTTTTTTTTTTTTTTTTTTTTTTTTTTTTTTTTTTTTTTTTTTTTTTTTTTTTTTTTTTTTTTTTTTTTTTTTTTTTTTTTTTTTTTTTTTTTTTTTTTTTTTTTTTTTTTTTTTTTTTTTTTTTTTTTTTTTTTTTTTTTTTTTTTTTTTTTTTTTTTTTTTTTTTTTTTTTTTTTTTTTTTTTTTTTTTTTTTTTTTTTTTTTTTTTTTTTTTTTTTTTTTTTTTTTTTTTTTTTTTTTTTTTTTTTTTTTTTTTTTTTTTTTTTTTTTTTTTTTTTTTTTTTTTTTTTTTTTTTTTTTTTTTTTTTTTTTTTTTTTTTTTTTTTTTTTTTTTTTTTTTTTTTTTTTTTTTTTTTTTTTTTTTTTTTTTTTTTTTTTTTTTTTTTTTTTTTTTTTTTTTTTTTTTTTTTTTTTTTTTTTTTTTTTTTTTTTTTTTTTTTTTTTTTTTTTTTTTTNACGTACTTTTCCTTTGTTTAAGGGTATTTGGGCAGTTTATTCTCTGTTATATTCTCAAGTAAACAATACATACAAGTACAGTACAGTATTTTCTGAGGAAACACTCGTACTTATTTTTTTTAACCCCATTCCCGATAACCCGGCATTTTCACAAACTCGGCCACCCTTCGGTCCACATTAGGCCAAGTTTTCGAGGTTCTACTGTACTGTATAATTTATCATTTTGCATATAAAATTACTCCATAAGAAGTATAGGAAGAACATGAAGCACTTTCAAAGTAAATTTGATAATTTTTTAAAATTACTTTTGAAATGGAAACATGTAATATTATATACTTAAGATATTTGAATTTCATGCAGTTGTTTTTCATCATAGTTAGATGTTAAATGTAATATTTGTATACCTATTGTATTTGAAACAAACTATGTTTTGAAGTTTAGTATTAAAAAAATATATATAATATAATGGTTGACAACAAAAAATTCTTGCTAATCAAGAAATTTTGGCAAAATTTCAAACCCTATTTATAAATCATTCTTTTTTATTGAATAACTTTTTTATTTACATAGTTATATTCCAAACTCATGGATAATTTTACTTAATCCACAGTTTTAAATATTTTTTATGGTTTTAACATCTAATTTAACGAATTAAAACTAAATTAGAACTGTTCTTTAAAAAAGATGTATCTGAACATCCTCTGTTGAGCATTATAATTTTTCTTAACTAGATAATCAATGGGACAATCTCAACCGTGGCTATCAGTGTTTTATTTTTTAAATATTTTTCCAGTTATTTAAATTAAGGGAGTTAAGCAAAAAAAAAAAGTATCCAAATATTCAAAATAATTTTTTCACAAAACTTTATTCTTTGTTTCTTTGTATTCTGATTGGTTTTCAACATTGTATTTTATCAAAAATTTACAACTAAAATAATGATTTATGTTAATTAATAATTCTAATTTACTTTTTATTTTGTAAAATGCACATTGAATAAGAATTCTTTTTCTTACACTTGTTTAATTTTGATGTTAATTTCACTTTTTTGCCTGTAAACATTTAGTAAAATATAAGAAGTAAATAATTTTAGCATTAAGATATTGATTTTTATGCTAAAATTGAATATTGACTAATAAATACTTGCAAATGGTGTTTACTATCCAACTGTAAATTTTTTGATATACAAGGTGTGTTCAAAAAGTATCGGACCTTTGGTCGGCAAAAATAAATTTTTTGATTTTGATGTACAAAACCCTAATCCCCATCAAAGTAGTCTCCTTGGTAATGTATACACTTCTCCCAGCGTTCCTGCCATTGCTGGAAACACTGCTGGAACGCATCTTTTGGAATGGTTATCAGCCGGTCCGTCGCATTTCGCATGATGTCTTCTCTCGACTAAATTTGGGTTCCTTTTAGCGGCATTTTCAGCTTGAGAAATAGCCAAAGGTCACACGGAGCCATGTGGAGAGAGTACGGAGCGTGACGAACCACAGGAGTATTGTGTTTGGCGACGAAAGCCCGAATCAGATGCGCAGAATGGGCGGATGCGTTATCACGATGGAGCTGCCAAGTTTTGATTGACCACAGATCCGGTCATTTGCATCGCACAGCATCGGAAAGACAACGAAGGACCTCCTGGTAGTACTCCTTTGCGATGGTTTGGCCTTGTGGTGCGTACTCACAACACACCACCCCACGAGAGTCGAAAAAACTGTCAACATGACCTTTGATATTGCTGCGGACCTGCCGCACTTTTTTTGGCCTCGAGGATCGTCCCCGAAAGCCTGCTGAATCTTGCGAATGGTTTACACTTGGGTATTGCCAAGGTTTTTGGCAAAATTTGATGTAATATCGCTGCTCACATTGTTCAGTCATTTTCCAGCTTAGTGGAATCCGACGCGAGCACACTACATGACCTCACTCATAGGCCGATTGCCAACAACTGACGCTTCCTGCAGGCGGGAAAAAATTCAGGGCTGTGCGTGACTGTCCCCTCCACAACTCCATCGAAGGAGGCCTCTCGTGCATCATTGGTTTACGCGGAAAAAAAAAAGGTCCGATACTTTTTGAACAGACCTTGTATTACATTTCTTTAGATATGCTAAACTAAAAAATTAAATATGTGTAAATTGAAATTATGTCATGATATACAGAATATAAGCTTAAGAAGAAAAATTTTTAAAATACTATGTCTAGTTGATACATGTACAGTACATTGAGATACAGTATATTTAATATAATCATCTATAAGATAATTTCAACTGGTTTATGGTTTATATTATGAAATTTTTGTGATGATTAATGCATTATAGCTATATAAATTAGTTTATTAAATGACTACAAGTTAATAATAATAATTTGCGGGGGGCGTGTCAGGACGTTGACGCTGCGAGTGACTTTTTATTTTGAGAACTTTACATTTGGAATTTAAGTGAAAATTAATAGTTTGTTTAATTAAATCATTACTAAATGAGTGCAAACTAATATTATGTAATTTGAAGTTAACGAAGGAAAGTTATATTTCAAAAAAATAACACTATGCAAAGATCTCCAGTTAACCGAGGAAGGCCACCACTCACAAGATCGAGAACAGAGAACAAAGAAGCCTATTCTGGTACTTCAAGCTCAAAACTCATTATGGATTATGGAATACAGTTGAATAGTAAATTGCAAGAAGAAATAAGTGAGTCTGGTCACCAAAATTTATTAAGTTCAACAGGCGAGTCATCTAATGTTAAATCAAATTCGGTTACTAATTTGGCAAGTCATTTTGACACTTCTAATGCACTTTTATGGTCTAAAATATCTGATTTAATAAATGACTCAAATGATAAACTGCTAGAACAAATGGTTTATATAAAAGAAGATATAGAAAATATACGCCACGAAATACGTGAGTCCAAGGAAAAACAGTTATACATAGAGAAGGAAATTAAAAATTTACAACAACAATTAGAAGAACAAAAAAGTGAAAATGAACTAATGCAATTCAAAATAGATTCTTTAAATAACGATTATAATTATAAAAATATAATAGTATACAATTATCCTGTTGACAAATCTATATCAACATCAGAAGTATATAAGTTCATGACAGATGTACTTAATATTAAAGATATATTCCAATCCGATATAACGGAAACAAACTTATTAACAAAGAAACCCAACATAGTAGTAAGAATAATATTTAATAATAGGCAAACCCGTGATAAATTCTTCTATAATTTTATTCAAGAAAAACAACTAAGAAATACATCAAATGAATGGAAAGACATGCAAATGGCACCAGAATTAACTAAAAACTCAAGATTAAGAAGGAAAAAGTTACTCCCAATTTTCTATGAATGGCGAAAACAAAAAGATCAAGTGAAACTTCGTAACGATATATTAATGATAAACCAAGAAAAAATAACATATAGTTTAAAATCGTGTAAACTGGTTTATGTAAACAACTTTCATCCTTATAGTGTTCAAATAGATAGGAACAGCTGATACCAAGACAAACAAAAACATAATCAAATCAACAGCACTATAAAAAATAATCAAATGGTGTCCATAATAAATTGGAATGGTCAAGGAATAAAAAACAAAATGTCATCAATAGTTAGAATTTGCACTAAATATGAACCGGATATCTTAGCAATTACTGAAACTTGGGTTACTTCAAATCTATATTACAACAAAAAATTTTTCAATAATTATATAGTAGAGGCGATTCAAGCACAGAAACCAAGTGGTCCGGGCCGTCCTAGTGGAGGAGTATGTATTCTGATAAAAAAGAACTTTGGAAAAATAATTGATATAAAAAAATACAATAATTATATGATAATGCTCATTTCACCATTGAAGACTATCTTAGAAGATCAAATTAATAATTACATAACATTATTAATAGCATATATTCAGCCTGATGATTTAAANATTTTTTATCTAATAATTTTTTAATAGTGCTGAACACTAGATCGTGTTTTTAAAACAATCCACAAGAAAACAACAAACAAACAAAAAATGTAATATTGTTTTTTAAAGTTATGATTATGAGTACTATTTCAATTCTTAATAAGAAAATATTAAGAATTGTTAAGGTGAATAGTTAAAGTGTTTTTTGAAATAAATTCATAAAGTGAAAATTATTCGTTTGTTTAATTAAATCATTACTAAATAAGTGCAAACTAATATTAAGTAATTTGAAGTTAACGAAGGAAAGTTATATTTCAAAAATAACATTATGCAAAGATCTCCAGTTAAGCGAGGAAGGCCTCCACTCACAAGATCGAGAACAGAGAACAAAGAAGCCTATTCTGGTACTTCAAGCTCAAAACTCATTACGGATTATGGAATACAGTTGAATAGTAAATTGCAAGAAGAAATAAGTGAGTTTGATCAACAAACTTTATTAAGTTCAACAGGTGAGTCATCTAACGTTAAATCAAATTCGGTTACTAATTTGGCAAGTCATTTTGACACTTCTAATGCACTTTTATGGTCTAAAATATCTGAGTTAATAAATGACTCAAATGATAAACTGCTAGAACAAATGGTTTATATAAAAGAAGATATAGAAAATATACGCCACGAAATACGTGAGTTCAAGGAAAAACAGTTATACATAGAGAAGGAAATTAAAAATTTACAACAACAATTAGAAGAACAAAAAAGTGAAAATGAACTAATGCAATTCAAAATAGATTCTTTAAATAACGATTATAATTATAAAAATATAATAGTATACAATTATCCTGTTGACAAATCTATATCAACATCAGAAGTATATAAGTTCATGACAGATGTACTTAATATTAAAGATATATCCCAATCCGATATAACGGAAACAAACTTATTAACAAAGAAACCCAACATAGTAGTAAGAATAATATTTAATAATAGGCAAACCCGTGATAAATTCTTCTATAATTTTATTCAAGAAAAACAACTAAGAAATACATCAAATGAATGGAAAGACATGCAAATGGCACCAGAATTAACTAAAAACTCAAGATTAAGAAGGAAAAAGTTACTCCCAATTTTCTATGAATGGCGAAAACAAAAAGATCAAGTGAAACTTCGTAACGATATATTAATGATAAACCAAGAAAAAATAACATATAGTTTAAAATCGTGTAAACTGGTTTATGTAAACAACTTTCATCCTTATAGTGTCCAAATAGATAGGAACAGCTGATACCAAGACAAACAAAAACATAATCAAATCAACAGCACTATAAAAAATAATCAAATGGTGTCCATAATAAATTGGAATGGTCAAGGAATAAAAAATAAAATGTCATCAATAGTTAGAATTTGCACTAAATATGAACCGGACATCTTAGCAATTACTGAAACTTGGGTTACTTCTAATCTATATTACAACAAAAAATTTTTCAATAATTATATAGTAGAGGCGATTCAAGCACAGAAACCAAGTGGTCCGGGCCATCCTAGTGGAGGAGTATGCATTCTGATAAAAAGGAACTTTGGAAAAATAATTGATATAAAAAAATACATTATATGATAATGCTCATTTCACCATTGAAGACTATCTTAGAAGATAAAATTAATAATTACATAACATTATTAATAGCATATATTCAGCCTGATGATTTAAATAACTTAAAAAGAAGTTTCAAAGCATTAGAAAGCTGGTTACACATTTCTCCACTTATCTTAATAATGGGAGATTTTAATGCAAGAATTGGTGAATTAATAGATTCTAAATATAAAGGTACTAATCAATATATATCTAATAATCGCATTTCAAAAGATAAGCAAACTAATAGAATGGGAAAATATCTCATCGAGTTACTAAAAGAACATAGATTATTTTTACTTAATGGTAGATTGCAACAGGATATTCCAGCTGAATATACTTGTCTAACTAATAAGGGCGCTTCGACAATAGATTTCACAATCGCTTCTGAACAACTCATGGATTATTGTGTAGAATTTCGAATTACGAATTTTGATAGTTCAGATCACTTTCCAACAATAGCAAAATTCCGATTGTTTCCTTCTGAGAATTTGAATATTATAGAAAATTATAACTTCAAGATAAAGTATAAACTGGAAAAATACGAATCGGAAATTGATAATCGATTTAAAAATATGCCTGAAGCAACTAATTACAATTGTGAAGAAGTGTATAAAACATTTATAAATACAATGAATGATTACATAATAATAAGCAAAAATAAAAAATATATGCAAAATAAAAATATAAAAATCTGGTATGATAGTAGTTGTTACAAAGAAAAACTCCGTAAGCAACAAAAATTAAAAATATACAGACAAAATCCTAATCATGAAAATTTTACGAATTATAAAAATGCCAAACGAACTTATAATAACTTAATTAAAACTAAAAAGAAAAACTACCTTCGTAGAATCGAATTAAATTTGATTAACAACACTAATAATAGCAAAGTATTCTGGAATACTATCAAAAAATTTCGAACAAAAGATAATTTAGGAAGGAGTAACATTGGAATAAGTTTTGAAACTTGGAAAAAATTCTACCAAAAGTTCACCATAAAAAATATACAAATTCCAACAGGTAAAAATTTCTATTGTGATGAGTATTTAAATGATGACATGACTATGAACGAACTGGAAGAAGTTATTCAAAAAATAAAGAACAATACTACTCCAGGAGACGATAACATACCAACTAAATTCTTAAAAATCCTGTCAACAGACTCCAAAATAAAACTACTGAAATTATTTAATACAATGTATAAAACATTATCCTATCCTGAATCATGGAATTCAATAATAATAACGATGATCTACAAAAAGGGAGACCAAATGTCTCCAGAAAATTATAGACCAATAGCCCTGTTATCTACACTCAGAAAATGTTTTACGTCGATACTGGCAATAAAGTTTCAACAGTGGATTAAAACTTATGAGTTGGAAGCAGAATTTCAATTTGCTTACACAAAAAATAAAGGCACAGAATCTGCATTATTTACCTTAATGATGATTATTCAGATATACTTATTAAAAAAACATAGAAAAATATACGCTGCTTTTATAGATATAACAAAGGCCTTCGATTCAGTATATGTACCATTACTTCAAAAAAAACTCAAAGAAAATGGTGCAAGTTCTCAATTTATAGAAACAATATCATTATTATATCAAAACTACAAAATAAAGATTAAGCAAAATAAGAATATTCTTTCACCAATAAGGCATTCACGTGGTGTTCTTCAAGGTGACCCATTATCCCCATATCTATTTAACTTTTATCTGGCAGATATAGATCATATTTTCTCTAAAGCAGAAGATGGAATAATTATAGGAAAGAAAGCATTTCATTATATACTGTTTGCGGATGATTTGGTTGTGATAGCGCCGACAAAAATCTCACTCCAAAGGAAAATAAATCAAATAAATCTGTATTTTAAGTCCAAATATTTAGCAATTAATCCTAGTAAAACTAAAATAATTATCTTTCGGAATAACAGTAAAATATCTATCAACGAAACAAAAATTTATCATGAAAAAATTTTGCTACAGACAGTGAATGAAATAAATTACCTAGGAGTTAATTTCGATTGGAATCTAACATTTAAATCGCATATATCTAAACTTAAAAATAAAGTTAAGCAAGCAATAGACAATCTTCTATTTTTATGTAGTAAATTAAAAACTTCAGATTTAAGAATACATATGAAACTTTATAGTTCGATCATTAATCCAATGTTATTTTATGCTAGCCCTATTTGGTGCTTGGACTATATCTACCATCTCGAACAATTCCACATATATTATCTACGCAGACTATTTCACATAGAAAGAACAGTACCAGGATATGCACTACGTCACGAAACGAATCGAATATGGTTATTTCCGTTTATATTAAAGCGAATTATCAAATTTTTTTATAAACTTAATTTCAACGGTGATAACAATTTAACTACTTTATATCAAGAAAATATAAGACAAAGTAAACTACAAAAAAATAAACAACTATGGTATAATAAGTTGCAAACTATTTTTAACTCCTTTGGAGTATCAGATCTATTATTCAAGGACAAAATTCAAGATTGGAAATCAGGATACTC